TGCTAATGCCATTGTGTACCTGGGCTAATTAGAAGAATAGTTCCTGGTCTTCAACTGAAAAAGCTTTCTTTCCCTCCTTTTTTTCTTTCTTTTTCTTTCCCCTCTCAGATGTTGTTAATCTCTGTGGGCAAATTTATTGGAGCATGATATGAGATGTTAACAGTGCCTGTTGCAGATAAAACGGTAGAATTAATTAGAGCTTTTGATTTTAGGAGATAATCTAGTTCTGAAAAAAAAGATTTGTGTTTTGGGGATAATAGGGGAAAAAAAATGAATGCATCTTGTCATCTGGAGACAATTTTAACTTGAATCATCAATATTTAGGGTCAGACTGCCTCAAGCCTTTTCCAAGTGCACAGCATACTGGAGAACACAATTAGCCTTTCCTTTATCTTCCTTGCAAAAGCTGCAGAGTATCAGAGTCTCCAAAGGTGTCTATGCAGCCACCAGCTACAAAGTAGGCCATGCAGAGGGAGTATGCTCAAAAAGCCTCCTCCCTGGATTCTGTAGCTTGCAGTTGACACCGCAGAAAGATCACATTGTAATTTCATCTGGCATATATTCTCTCTGTATGGCTGGGCTGTAAATTTTACCTATCTTGTGGCAATGTGAACAGTGCCATCCCACAGGGCTCTTCTCAGCACTAGCTAGACCAAGTCTGTGTATCACTGTGATGAACACTAAAAAGCACAAACTGGTATTAGGCACTTGGACTTTTTTTCTGGTAACAGCAGCTGAGGAAAAAATGTACTGAATGCTAAAACACAATAACATCTACTTTACAGGCCTACAGTCACATGCTAAGCACAGTAGTCCTGTGTTCAGGGATTGTTTGTGACATATATCATCCATCTGAAGTTGACCAATTGCCCTTGTCTTCTGCTGTCAGACAAAGATGGAATAATTCCTGCAAGTTTGGAGCTCCTGTCATGATAGTTTGCTGGAAGCTCTTCTGTGGGTAGAGACTTTACCAAGCCAGCCTGAACTTTAGGACACCCTGCAAAGTATTTTGGGTTAAAACCCCTCTGGAAAAAAAAGAGAAGAACTGATATTGGCTCACCTTGAGATCAAGTGTCTGATAACTGAGAAACTGGTGGACACAGGTTCTTGAAGATTTGGGTGATATAACCCCAAATGTTTTAAATGTTTTTCCTGGGGAAATTTGTCTATTAGGCCTTCCATTGGGATTACCATCATGAAAATCTCTGTGATTCAATGTTTGATGGGGGGGGGAGGGGAAATGCAGAAGGGTTGGTTGGACTTAGCCATGAAGAAACTGAGTATTTTAAGAAATAAAAAAAATTGCACAGTTTGGCAAGTACAAGGCTGTTGCTAGACAAACTTAATTCCACAAGCAATATGTGAAAGAAATGAAGGTGATAGGAGCAAACAGAAAAAAGTCAGCATAGAATCCAGAAGAGAAAATAGGATAGAAACCAATTAGTTGGCTGAAAAATCAGGAGATTAATCTGAGTAAATAGACAGGCAGCTCCCCTGGGTCATTATAACATTTAACAACAGTACCAGGACTTCACTGACGATGAAGTGCAAAGAGAGGAAAGAGTTACTCAGTGGCCTAGTCGTGAACAACAGTCCTGAACAACAGGCCAGTGATGATAAAATCTGGAATTTTGTCCATCATGGAAAAAATAGGACAATGAAAGATCCAGAATGGCCTAATGAAAAGAGGAATGGACTAAGGATCAGAGCTTTTATTTCTCTCAAAGGTGACAGAAGAAAAGGTCTCATGCTCTGCCTGTTTCCCCACAAGCAAAGGATTCAGGAGGCTTGCACTCTGAGTCACAAGAATAGCCCCCACTAATCTAATTTGAAAAGTGAAAGTCTTTTTCAAGGATACAAAAATACAAAAAAGTCTTAATAAACTTCTTGCAAACAAGAACCATTTTGCAAACTCTTCTTGCTAGAAGATATTTTATTATGGGAGAAACAAAAAAATGAAAAAGCACAAACAAATATGTGAATTAAGCTCTTTGGGGGCAGATTCAGACAATTTATAATGTCATGGGCCTTTCCACTCTCTACTTAATCTTCAGGTAATGGGTGTTGTGTAGAGGAGTCCCCTGTGCAGACAAATAGCCAAATTCCAGGAGCAGGTTTTAAGGCTGTCTTGAACATGCAGCTGACTACTCACATGACTTCCCAGTAAATGTAGTATGGAGGTGTGTAAAAAGACATCTCCAAGTAGGTGGAGGTTTTTCTAGAGAGCACTTCCCTCTGGCAATTGCTGACAGAGGAACAGCCTGTGACACTGTTGCCAGGTGGAGAAAATGATAGCAACCCCTGTGGCTATTATTTGCTGCCATTAACAACATGGGCGATAGGTGGAAAGATAATGGAAAGGCAATGCCATCTCTCTGCCTTGCCTCCAAGTGCTTAGCCTGAAAACCCAGCCTGATGTTTATATAGTGTTCTCAACCTGTAATCTGCTAAATCCTGCGATTAAATAATTTTGCTCAAGGTTATAACTGGTTTTAAGTTGCACAGTTTAACACCAGGCATTAGAATTGACAAATGCCATTCCCCATTGAGTAAGCAACTGAACTTAAGCCTGGGGGCTAAGAGCTGGAAGAGCAGCCAACAGCTGTGAAGGGAGGTAACTCCAAAAAAGAAGAGCATTTTATTAGCATTGGGGGAAGAGGAGACAAGGGAAAGGGAGCAGTGTAGAACCCAAAATTTTTTTTTTGCATGATCTATGCCGTTGTGCTTGGTGTGTGGGCACACCCTCCTAGACAAATAGCTTCCAGCATGGAGCGTGAGTCTTGTGTCCCAGGTGGAAAAAAGGGAGAATTCTCTGCTATCTCTTGTGAACTGCATAGTGGTTCCTGAGAGCAGTGGGGAAGAAGAGAATGCTGTGGAAATGTTTCCCCTGTGGTAGAAGATGGCAATAGCGTTCAACACCACATCTGTTTTTGCTATGAGCTGAAATGGCACCAGCTATGCAAAGTATCTATGAACTTGGATTAAAGGAAGGTAGGCTCGATGAACCTTGGGCTCTGGAGGACCCAGACCTCAACAGACTGATGCATGAAGGCATAAACTACCTGTAGACCTAGTCTTCAGTGAGGACTGTGAAATATGACTATTTATACTTTACTACATTAATGTAATACTGTGTTTACCTGTGCAGGTGGCTTTTCATTTCCCTCGTTAATGAAGAATTGTTACACTTGGAAAAAAGGAAAATTAGCTCATGGGTTACCTGAAATTTTTTTCCCAGATTTCAGGCTGGAAGATGTTGGTTTATTAGCCCTTGATAAACCTTAACTGGTCCCTGTGATTGCCAAACAAGTGCTGACACAAGTCAGACTAAGAATAATTTAATGCAAGGTTAGACCAGATGATCTCTAGAGATATTTTCCAATCTAGACTTTTTTATGATGGTATAATGGATGATTACTTTTTAATAGCTGCTTGACTTAGAGGCAGAGCTATGTGAATAACTGATCTTTTGGTTAACTGGATGAACAGAAGGTCGAGAAGGGAGACACAGTGTTGGGAAACAAAATTTTCCAACTCTCGGCAAGCTTTCCTCTCCCATTACAGAAACACTTAGCATTGTCTCAAGGCATTGCATTCCAGGCAAAATGGAACAATTTCTACTCCTTTCACAAAGACTATATTCAGCTAGGGTTTTTTTGAACAAAATGCTACTTAGGATGAAAAATCAAAATGTTTAAAAACGCATTTCAAGCTTTTAAAAAAATGTGTTGTTTTCTTGAGGGAACTATTCATGAATTTCTGAAGAGGCGACTGAAAGCATGGATAGTCTCCAGCGAGCCCGACTTCATTTTTTGCCAGATAGACTATTTCATTAAAAAACAATCAATCCCTTTGTCTGCTTAATCACTGTTCTGACAGTCTGCAAAGGAAAGATGGAGAATTCCTGCTCCATGTGGCACTGCACAGATTCACATGAAGGCTAAATGGAAAGCCAAACCTAATTTTGCAAGAAGCCATTAGGAGCCATGGGCTCTCCAGTCCCGCAAGGATAAAATCTTAACACAACAAGGTCCAATGTTTAAAAAACGACTGCCTGAAGGTCTGCTCACCAGCCTGCACTTACCCATTTAAATACCTGGGTTGGCAGGGTGCAAGGGGACTTAGCAAGCAGCACCTCCACTTGTGAGTTTCATGGCAAATGCTGGCTGATCAGGACTGTTCAAAGCCACACCGGTTACTTTGGTACCTTCTTCCTCACTGGATTACTAAAAGAACCATTTTCCCTAACATCCAGGATTAATAATAATTCAAAATGGAGTAATTAAATAATAGAGTAAAAGAGAGAAAACCACTACAAAAGGAAAACTGAGATCAAGTGAAGCTCCTTATCGTTCAGATAAACCAAAATAAAAACAAAAAATTGCTTCCCAAGGCAGCAATTCTTTTAGGTTCTGCATCAAAACTGAGCTGAAAAGCCAGGATCACTCCCCCAGACAAGCCAAGCGAACAGGATTCTGCTCCAAGCATCTGAGCAACACTGGATGAAAAAAAATAATGAAAGATGAAGCAGAGGCAAGACGCCGATTGACTGAGGGCATATGGGAGACCTAAGGACAACAATCAATCATGGATCTGTAAGCTGTTTAAAACTATTCAATGCGAGGGAACCAGCGAGAGAGCAGCATCTGTGTGCTCAGACTGGCTGCAGCTCCTCCAAAACCCAGCTCAGTCCAAATTAGGGGGAAGCACTGCCACGAGCACCGGCTCCCCAAACTCCCTCCCACTGCCAGAGAGCCCCACACAACCGGCACCTCGTCACAGGGAGTCACTCGAGCATGGAGACAAAGCCTCGGTCTCTAAATATTTAGACAGCCCATGGTTTTTGGCAGCACATTGGCTTTCCTACCCAGGGTTTGCAGGGGTGCCTGCTTGGACATGCCGGGATGGCAACGCCCAGCACAGGCCGCGGAGTGTGCAGGTTGGACGGGGAACACAACCACTGTTGCTGCATTTGAGGCTAATCAGGTTTGATGTCTCACCTCTTGGTTCAGCATGGGCTTGCAGCCCGAGTTTTTGTTGGTGAGCTGCAAGGGTGCTATCTGGCTTGTCATGTCTAATAACTTTCTCTTCTGAAGGCTGATATGCTGAAAGATCTGTGCTGCTGATGTTAAAAGCTGGATTTTCAATGCCTTCTGTTGCTGCTCTCTCTTCTTTTACTATAGAAAACAAGGAGGTCAGAAGAGCACATTATAGCAAAGTGTATTTCAATGACAAGCAGAAAATTCCTTCTAGTAATTCCTTTGCTGAAAGACTCAAGTGTATCGTCCTCAAATGTCGCCAAAACAGAATTAGGTTAAAATTAACTCTAAAAAAAAAAAAAAAAAAAAAAAGAGAAAAGAATAAATGATTAAAATAATTACAAATTGCACCCTGACAAGCAAGAGCAAAATTTCGCCCACAGCCATTTGTCTGTAATTAGTTAATTAATCCTTACACAAATTATGAGCAATAACTCATCAAGCAAGGCTCACCCATCAGAAATTCAGCCGACTTGGATTTCTTCTGCTTAGTTTGCTTCAGAGCCTTCTGCTGGAACTTCTGGAGGGAAATTGTTAAATGAATAAATTAGCTAAAGAACGAAGATCATCCTTTATGATCCACAACTAACACAGTATTTTAAATATGGGATGGCATTGAAATGTCATTTAATTTAAATCTCTGCTAAAGGGGTCAAACACTAATTGAACAACAGAAGTGGAAGAATTAAATAAAATAGAAGAAAAGTTAAAACAAATGCCAAATGAAGGTCACATTAAAATACTTTGTTTTTCCCCAATTTTAATTAATGCAAAGAAACCTCAACAAATGAAGAACATTATAAGACTCGTCTCTCAGTATGCATTCAAGAGCAACTGCTTTATTTCACTTGCAGAACGGCACTGCTTCATTTAGAAAAGTTTGGTTATGTAGCATATTTATAGACAAACTTCCCTGACGTCCACCATCCTCCTGTTTTCCAAGTCCACTTACATAACCGGTGTATCTGTTCATCACAGAGCAGCTAAAAATGAATAAGCTCTACCCTTTCATATAATGCAACAGAATGAAAAGAGAACCAAAACAATTTAAAACCAGGTGGCACAAAAGAGAGATCACGGTCCAGGGGAGAGATGAAGCAGGACTCATTACAACAATGAAAAGTTCATTTCATATTAGAGAGATGCCAACAAGGGTTACGGTGAAATCAAACAGCAGGAGATCCTGCGGAACCTTAACTCTGACAAGCTCCACAGAAATTCCCATGGGAAGGCAAGGCTCAAAAATTATCTGGTCACTATTGAACTAAGGAAGACCCAAGTGCTAAACACTGTAAAATACCTAAAGCAGCACTGGGCAAGAGTCACAAGTGGTCTGGTTTGTGGCTGCAAACCCTATTTCAGATGCTGACAGTCAAAACAGGCAAAGATTACCTAAAATAAAGTACATCTGGGAATATTAATCAAAGCTAAAACCAAAGTAAGAAAACAGTTCAGAGCCATTTATTTTAGAACGTCACATGGCAGCTTCCAAAAACAGCATTATTTTTTCAAGCCAGTTGCTTAATTGTCCAGTGATAAAGACCACTCCTGGCAACATAGCTCCTGGAAACTGTCAATACAAAAGGATTAATTACAAGAATCATTGAAAAATTGCAGTTTTTACAGCATCCATCTTTCCTATTTGATTGTGAGTGTCAATTTCCAGTAAAAAACAGTACTTGCAGCAGACACAATCAATAAATCTGTCAAAAAATAGCTGAACCATACCACTGACAGGTTAATACAGATATTAATATCTTCATATTTATACATGTATATATGCACACACATATATGGTTTCCTGAAAACAGTAGATATCCTCTAAACTAAGACTAATACCCTACTAAAAAACAAATATGTAAAAATGACCAGACACATTCTGAAAGCTACAATAAATAAATACAATATGAGAAAAAAATCCTGTAAGCCACGTGCAGCACAACTGGAGTTAATGATAATTTTGATAGGAGTTCAATAGGATCAGAAATTCACCCTACTGCTTCTGCTTTTTTTCAAAAATACACATTGCTTCATTTAGTATCGTCAGAATTACATCTGCTTTGCAATATTAAAGAATTGCTGCATTCCTGCATGCCATAAAATTTTAATTGAGCCACTTTTAAAGATTCCAGAGTATTTGTAACACTGCTGTGTGATAATTATTCTTACTATGCTGTGCATAATTACCACACAAAACCTTCAACTTCATGTTAACAGCTAAAGAAAACAATACCGAGCCAAAAATTCTGGGGCAAATTTTCAAGTGGTATAAATCTGTACACATCTGTAACTCTGATGGAATTAAGATGATCTGCATTAGATTCTGTGTATTTCTTTCTGCATGTCAGATTTCCCTAGCAAAGTGCTCACTGTATTGGCCATAGTCAACTTTCAACTGTTCTATTCTGGAAAATGCACAAGCTCCTTCCACAGCACAAAGAAGAAAAAAATACATTCCTCTTTCCCTATTTATAATAAGATGTGTACTGCAGTGGGTTCTGGAGTGGGTTTGTTCTGGAGTGTGTTCTGGAGTTTTTATTGTTTGGGATTTTGGATAGTTTTTTGTTTTGTTTCAGGGAGGGTGTTGAGGTATTGGATTTTTGAGGGGGTCTGTTTGTTTGTTTTTTCTAGGATTCAATACAGTTAACACCAAATTTTGTATTTCTCAGTGACACAAATGACTACATTATTTGGAACTTCAGTCAAATGCCAACTAGCATTTTTAGGTAGTTGATGTAACAGGCTTGTGATCCCTACTTTCTGCAAAGAGATGATGCCCTCTCCCTTAATGTGATCAGGTTTTGAAAATGTTTTTCATATTTTTTTAGAATTAAAGCAATATTTGATTTCCAACAGCAAGTTGAATTCCTCCAGTGTTCAGCTTCTCAACATAACTGAAAAATAGAGTATTTCATTGGTGGCCTTTGTGTAATCAACATGTTCTTGTCACTTTGTGCTTGAGAGGAAATTAGAAGACATTTTCCTTTCATACCTATTTCCAGAGCCAATTTCCTCATCCTTCTCTCTTTTACACATGAGCAATTTTAAGTAGTGTAAATAACACTATTTCCCCCTGCTTTTTATTTTAGGTTTCCTTTCCCAGCCCCCCTACCCTTACAATGCTTTGCCTTCTCATCAGAGAATAAATAGGCAGGAAATTATCCAGTTGCATTTTATACTCATTTTATCATTAGTCACTACTACTTAATATATGTATTTATGCAAATTTATGTCTAAAGCAAATGTTCTTTAATCAGTTCGCACATACCTGAAAAGCTTAGGTTTTCAACAGCAAATTAAATAAATGCTTTCAGTGACCATTTGGAATGTTTGCAGGCAAAGTCCAGTTGTGTGAGCATACCGAGACAAATACAGACTCATACATGAGCGCACATCTGCACAGAAAGCCTCTACTCTGATTACAGGACATTATCCAAAAAAGAAAAAAGAAAAGTTGCACAACCTGAAGCCAGAGCCTAAAGTGATGCAAAGTGCTGCACTGGTTTACACCTGCGGTGACAGGGGTACAGCTTGCATCCACAAACCAAATGCATCGCATCTGTCTATCCACAACTAGCACACAGAAAGGGGATGTCCTTTGTCCTTTGCCTGCAAAGTCAAGTTTAAAGGGTGATCTTGCAATTCATCCTACCTCAAATCTCCACGACTGCTGCTGAAAAACAAGAAGTCCTGCCTTTTAATTTATTTTTTTAAATGTCTTTTTACCTTGAGTGTGCAGCATTACAGCAAAGACAAGGGGAGTTAGAAGTGTCTGAGCGCAGCGCAGACAAATCACCATGTCACTCAAAAAGTGATCTAAACCTTTAAAGGCTTTTTTTGCACGCCATCGTCATTAAGGCGCACCGCCTGCTTTCTGATACCAATGGAAACAAAGGAAAACCGGGACTACCAGAACCTGCAGCACTCGCATCCGTGGGAGAGCAGCGAGCACCACAACAGCAGCAGCGGCAGCAGCAATGGCGAGGGAAAAAACCCTCATTTATAACCAGTGACAACTAAAACCTATGAAGTTTTTAAAAGAATGTGATTGTTGTCAAAAGGAATTGGGTACAACAATGCTGCGTTCAGCTCTGGTTCCACTCAAAGCCGTGGCTGAGGGGCTCTGGGAAAGCTGCTGGAAGGCTGGTGGGCACAGACCAGCAAGAAAGTGAATTTTGCATACTGTACGGATCATCGCTCAGTTCAGGGCAGTCATATTGAATCTGTGATCAACCAATTGTGCTTCATGAAACCGTCAGCCCTCATTTATGTCTAGCTGTTTTCTTCTGTCCTGCTGTAAACAAGCTCTGCTCTGAGCTGTCTCCCTACCCTTATCTGCTTACGAAGATCACACAGACAGACCTCATCAGCAGCCTTAGAGTTAAAGTTAAAGTTACTGCTTCCAGACAGCAGTCCCCATGCAAGCTGGAAGTCAAAAAGAAGAGCAACTTTGGAATGACAGAGTTTTAGTTCCTTTTAGGAAATGCATACCTTAGATTCATACACATACTGGCATGTTATGTCTCTTTCATGAAATTAAATTAGGTGTTCCTAATATGAACAACTGTTTCTAACATCAGCAAACTAGCTCAGCAGATTCATCCATGGTTTTGTTTGTGGGTTGGTTGTCTTGTTGTTGGTTGTTGGGTTGTTTTTTTTTTATTTTTTTTTCCTTTGGGGCCTTGTTTGAATACAGCCAAAAGAGAAGTAGCTGGAAATATTGCAAATCTGGTAGGGCTCCAAGAACCTAATAATGCCTGAAATGCTCTGAGGAGTGTAACGATGGTAAACAGGAACAGGTATGTTGGCTTCTGTTCTCATTCACTTCAGTAAGAGCATTAGTCTTTCAACGAAAAGCAGAGCACAGTTTTCAAATGATCCTCTCGCATAAAAAGGGATGGAGCCTCACTAAGCACTTATTCCTCTGTGAACTCACTTGCACACACACAAATGCATTAGTTGGTATTTACAGCATTTAATTCTTACAACCAGCTGCTAAGTCCCTGTTAAGGATTTCCTTTATGCAGCTGGAGCTGGAACCTTTTCCTTTCTCCAAGCCTATTACTTTGTCTATTTAAGGGATGGCAGCCAAAGAGAAACAGCTTGATATTTGCACCTGTCTGCTTTAAGCACTCCATGTTAGATTTTGCAAACAAACTCTTCATTGCTAAAGAGAATGACACTTAGTAGGGTCAAAGACGTTTTCAGCCGACTCTGCAGCAATCAAAAATAAATAAAATTAAATAAAGAAATAACCTCATGCTTTGTTTGTTCTAGATAGACAATGAGGCCAAAGGAAAAAGGTTGTGGAAAAGGAGCAGCTCAGTGTGTAGGTGGAAGATGTAACTATGTGTGCCTAGTCTAATAGAATACCAGGCACAGCTAGGCATGAGTGAACCTGCACGCTGCCCACGCAGGAGCACGTGGGACAGCTTTTGCCTCTTCCCCCATAAAATGCAGAAACGCTTCAGAAAGAAAACATGTGCAAGGAATCCTTAGGAATTTCTACAAACTGGACTGCCTTTTGAGGACCCACAGAAAGCTTTGCCACCTAGACGGTCAGACCTATGAGAAAATTGTTTTTATACGACCAAAAAGAAACGTATGCTCCTTTCATGTGTATGCTCAGAGGTGTGCAAGCGTGGCCGTACAGAGCCCCACTAGCTGGAGCGTAAAGCAGTGAGGGCGTACATCAAGCCAGTAACCCTCGTGTGAGCTTTCAGCCTTACACAAACCATGGTAGCACGCTTGCTTCTTGCTAGGAAACAAATGCGGTGCTTTCAGTCAGCTTTCATTTACAATTGCACTGAAAGAAACAACAATCTCACTGGTGTATTAGCTCAGTTACTAAGAAGTAGTCTTTTTATTGCTTGCTCTTAAAATAGAAAAGCCCTCAAAAAACTCAAGCTACAGAGCTGATGACAAGAGCAAAAACGCCAGGGGAAGAAAAAAACTAGAAGGAAAATAAAACAAAGTAGAACATACAATTTATTAAGCAAAACATTGGTGCTGCATTTTGATTTCATAAATTGTCCCCATTTGTACTTCCTGTTTAAACAATAACTAACATGATGATGGGTTAAATGAAGTAGAGATTGTCACAAACATGGCCTCACTAGTAATTAATGTAGTTTAATATGGTTGTTGGCACACATCTCACATGACAGATAATGTTCCAACATGTCACTGATAGGACCTTTCAGCGCAGCTTTAGGAGATCTACCAGGCATTGCCGAGGTTGGTTGGGTCAAAGGGTTGAACCATGTGTAATTCAGAACAGAAGAGGTCCCACGGTCACTCCACAAAAACAATTACACTACTTATTTCACTCCATCCCCTGCCCGAAATTCACAAGCCTCACAGTTTCAGCGCAGTCAATCTCACTCTGCCCTGGGGCTATGAGCCACATGAAAATATGTGGTGCTGTGTTTATAAATCTAATCAAAAATAGAAACAGTAGACAAGCACAATGAGGTCCTACTATGGATCATGGGAATTCTCTAAATTCTGAAGGCACTTTTGTTTAACTTCTGTGGGCCTTCTCCTACCATTACATTGTCTGGTACTCTCGTTAATCATCTCCTTGACTTGTCAATGCTATAAAGGAGCCTATGCGTCTGCTGACTTCTCTCCCATCACACTACAAATAATATTATGAAACAGCAATGCTAGGAATAGTCCCTTTAACTTTTCTCTTTGGAAAGCATGGCTTTTTCTTCACTTACCTCTTTCTCCATGCCAGCCTGCCCTTTCTCAGACCTGCAGCAAAAAATGCTTCCTCCTGCAACAAAGGAAAGGCAGTATATCTGAATTTTCAGTGCACAGTTATTCATACCACTAGGTTTAACACTCAGACTTGGAGAGCACCGGCCCATAAACCTGCTAGGAGGGGGTGGGGGGGAGGTCTTTCCTGGTGCCATCCCTGCTCTGACCTTGTCAAAGAGCAAAGGGATGATGTAGTGCTGCTCCTTCATTTCTTTTTGAAAACAAATTTGCACCAGATCATAAAAAAACCCAAAAAAACCCAACAATCTGCTAATAAACATAAATGAAAAAATCATAATTTAAGGTCAGATGAAGCAATGCCAACAAGAAACCCATTTTAAGTGGAAGCAGTCCAGAAGGATAATTCCTATCACCAGAGAGTAACCACTAAAATGATGCAGTTTACTGTGGAATACACCTTACCTGAAAACTACAATACCAAAGCTGTCAAACACAGAAATGCTTCTGTGATCTGGCATTTACAAGTGCCTCATTCCCTGAACTGGGATTTCCACTGAATGGATGAAAATTTTCCTCTGAGGTTATAATTAAGCAAACTTACAACAACTTCACAATTTAGATACCACGTCAGCGAAAAGGCCTCAATTTCATACCAGCTACTTTTGTCTCTATGTGGGAATAAAATTTATTCATTCAAAATAGCCAGAGAGGTTGCCCCTGTGCCCGCTGAAATCAATGGCAAAACTCAGTCTGACTCCACAGTTGCAGGACCTGACCCACAATGAATAGCAAGCTTCTTCCTTGGCCTGATTTTCCCTTGTGCATTTACACAAACACACTTTCAGGTTATTTTGCTGAGCCTGAAAACAAAACAAGACTTTGAACAATTAAAAATATCCCTTCAGAGTCCCTCAGAAGCCTTAGGTGACCTTCTGGGTCAGAAGATGCCCCGTACAAAGTACATGTTTGGCCCCACTTGAGGAAACTCTCTCTCCTGAGGGCGCCAGGCAAAGAAGTGCCTAATTCTGAGTATGTGCTTAGGTTTCATTGAAACCAATACAATGGACAGTGGACGGGGCCACAAATGCTCCACGGAAAAGGGCTGCATTGTCACTCCAGTTTCTCACTAATGAATGAAGGGCTGAGCTTTTGCCCAGGCTTCGCTGATGCTGGGAGCCTGCTGACCTTTGCCATCGCTCCTTGATTTCGGTGCCCTCCTTCGGGTGCCAAGGCCATCGAAGCGATGCCGGGGGCTGCGAATCCAGCAGCTCCTGCGTCTCCTAGAGCCAGCCCTGCCCACACAGCCCCTGCACCACAGCCCACAGCCATTGCAAGGCTCCCTGCTCCCGGCCACTATGCAACATTGAAAATAAAGCCCCAGCACGAACCCGCAGATAGGCTCAAGTCATGTATCTGGTCATTGTATGTTTCAGAAAACAACCCCAGTCCCAATTCCAAAAACTGGGATGTGTTTTCAGAACAAGGTAGTACATGCCTTTTTTTTCCAGCTTCTGGAACTGTACATCCACTGAATGCAACAGGTAACTAGTTTTAAGCCCAATAACATGGCATACTGCTTATTCCCCTTGTTCCCCTTATGGCATGTGGCATATGGGAACAGCAAAAAAGAACCACCTGTATGAACCAAAAGCAACAAAAGCTCAGAAGAACTTCTTTCCCAAAGCAGAATGGTGAAAAGCTGCCAGCAGAAGAGAACTGACCACGTTAAAATAAACTGTGAACTCAACATTTTCATCCACAGTCAACATCTGTGCACTGTAGAAGAGCCAAAGATGCAGCAATAAGGACTTGCAAAGCCACAACAGTCCAGGAATCCAAACATTGGGTAGACTAGGAGTTTCATCTGAAAAAAATGTGATTGAGGAAATAAGGACAGCAAAGGCAAAGAGAGATAAACAATGAGTTCAGAAGAGACATTAATAATGTTAGGGTCTAAACACTGATTTTCTTAGAGTTCAAGAACTTCCTCTTATTTGGGTTTTCCGGGAAATTTTTTAATTTGTTTGCTTTGGTGTGGGACACTTTATTGTTTTTTGTTTGTTTGTTTGTTTTTTTAAATGAAGGTGTTAGAAATTGCTTTTCCTTTTTCCTTTATAGTACCAAACACGTAACACATTCAACACTGCATCAACTGATGCTGACTGTGGCCTTAGTTAACCTCACCAGCCTATTTTCTTTATCTGGATAACAGTTGAATCATTAGCATTAAACTAGCTTGCAGTCCTTAAAGAGTACAGCAAAAACAGAGTACATGATCTTCTCAGCAATCAAAACACAACATAAAAAGTATTTGAGATCCCACCAGGTATTTTATTTCATACCTGACTGATGTATTTTGCATGAATTAGGGATGGACTTTAGTTATTTTTAAGTCCATTTGTAGTAAAATGCCAAAGCAAACAATTACTTAGATGTTATTAAACTGCTTATTCCACCTTTTTTTCTAATTTTTTACCCAATTATGCTTTGTTTTTTCACAAGGGGAAAAACTAAGAATGCTAGATTAAATGTGCAAGATATACTAATAACTTTCTGTAGCAAAAGTAATCTATTTTTAATACAAAAAATTAGTGAATTAGAGAGATGCACAAAAACACTCTTTTAGCACCACAGCCCTATTAGCAGGCTCCCATCACTGGCCAAGGAGAGCAATGCCAGGCACAGCTGAGGTGTTGGAGATTGCTTGAGGAGAAACAGCAGGTGCAGAGCAGGAGCAGCAAAGCAACAGTTTGTCATGGCGGGGGCTGCCCTCGCTCCTTCCTCACCTGCACCTGGGGCACCATTTATCACATGCTAAGAAGCAGTGCTGCGGGATCTCTGTGCTACAATATTGGCAGAAACCACTGAGTAAATGATAACCCTAACAACCCTGCTTGCAATTCCCTTTGGACTCTCATAAATACCAGGTAGCCAGCCTTGGTCTTTACGAAATATTTCTTCAGGGGAAAATTGCACCTCCAGTGAAGAGAATCCATCAGTCACTTAAATTCAGCAGGACTGACCTTTGAAGCCAAAAGCATTGTGCTTATCCTCCTTTAATCATCAATTTTGGGAGCAGGTCCTTCAAAGTAATCTCAGATCCATGCTATATATTTTCTTTTTAATTTTTCTTTATTTTAATTCATAAAGAAAGGAGCTTACTGCAATATGTCTTTAGACAATATGTCTTAAGACCATTAACACACTTTAAATTAGGCCCACATTCAATTCCTTCACTTGATAGGTTGTGATGTTCCTAGTCTTTTTCTGTGTGCCTGAAAAGATGAATAGATGATTTTTCTAATGTTAAACCTCAGTAGGCAACTAAGCACCACTCAGCTGCTCACTTTCAGTAGAATAGAGATGAGAAAGCGAAGGATAAAAGTACAAAAACACATGGGTTTAGATATAGACAGTTTAGAACCATAGACTGATTTGGGTTGGAAGGGACCTTAAAGATCATCCAGTTCCAATTCCCTTGCCATGAGCAGGGACACCTTTCACTAGACCAGGTTCAAAGCCCCATCCAGCCTGGCCTCAAACACTTCCAGGAATGGGGCATCCATATCTTCTCTGGGAAACTCATCACCCTCCAATAAAGAATTTCTCCCTGATATCTAATCTAAACCTAATCTCTTTTAATTTGAAGCCATTCCCTTTTGTCCTGTCACTATGTGCTCTTGTAAAGAGTCTATCTCCATCCTTCTTATAGGCTCCCTTCAGGTACTGAAAGGTCATGATTAGAATACCCTGAAGCCTTCTCTTTTCCAGGCTGAACAATCCCAGTTGCCTTAGCCTTTCCTCATAGGAAAGGTGCTCCGTCCCTCTGATCGTCTTGGTGGCCCTGCTCTGGATTTGCTGTGACCAGTCCATGTCCTTCCTCCTGTGCTCAGGGCTCCAGAGCTGGATGCAGCTCCAGGGGGGTCTCGCCAGAGCAGAATAGAGTGGTAGAATCACTTCCCTTGCACTGCTGCCCATGCTGCTTTTGATGCAGTCCAGGATACGGTTGACCTTCTGAGCTGCCAGAATTTATGTTTTTAAATGAGGGATAAAAAAGGAAAGGGAGTAGGGAGGGAACCACAAATAAACAGTGATGCAAAAGAAAACAATTGCACACCACCAACCGACTGATGTCCAGCCAGTCCCCAAACACCTTTCACCCACTCCCCTCACACTCAGTTTTATTGCTGAACATGACATCATATGTTATGGAATATCCCTTTGGTGAAATGGGGTCCGTTGTCCCAACTTCTTATCCTCCCAACCTTTTGCATAGTCCCAGCCCATTCACTGATGGGGTGGTTTGAGAAACAGAAAAGATTTTGACACTCTTTAAGCACTATTCACCAATATCTAAAACATCCCCGTGTTATCAACACTGCTATAACAAACCCAAAACACAGCCCCACACAAGCTACTATGACAAAATTTAATCTCAGTCCAAACCAGCAATTCCTGTGGAAGCTGGAAATACCAAACTTTTAGGTTTTGTGTCACCATTCCAGTATTCCCATTTCCCACCAAATGAAAAGCACCACACATGAACGTTGACCACACTGTTTCAGAGCCTGGCTTACGGATGATCAACTCCTGATTAAGTCCCAGGGCTCTTGTTTAAGAGTACTGAAACTTTTAGTGATCTTCAATTGAAAGTCACTGTCGAGGGGTTGAGGGAGGAGCAACACCAGCCCCAGACTGGACAAAAGGTTTTCCAGAAGGGGATGAAGAAAAGCTCTCAGTCTTTCTCGCCAGGCTATTTTTTTTTCAGAATTGCCCACTGCAAGACTTGGAGATGGCTCAGATTAAGATGGTAGCAGGCAGCAGGATTGAGGGACCAAGCTCAATAAGAAAATCATGCTCTTCATGGTTATGGGCAAGCAAAAACTTTTTCCTCCAGTCTTCCACTTGTAAAACAAGCACAGCAATACTCATTACCTTCGGGATTCTACCAGCCATGGCGAATTTTTGCACACCACTCTGGATGCAGTAACATGGTATCAGGAACCTCAGCACTGCCACTGTCCTTAATTTTCACTTCCCACCTACATCCCAGCT